TTGGGGTTTAGGGTTTAGGGTTTAGGGTTTAGGGTTTAGGGTTTAGGGTTTAGGGTTTAGGGTCTGCAATCGGAACCTAGAACTCGCTTCGAAGAGCCTGCATAGCTAGATGAAGCTTCTGGGGTATAATTGCTACCGTAGGGACGAGACTGGGATGTTATTGCTGTTATTCCGACCTCTTACCAGATGGAACCATTGTCTGTCAGGCTTCTTTATTGCTGTACAGGTCGCGTTTGCCGGAAGTCCCGACCCTCCAGCCGAAAGAATCTTATCAGCCCTATCCTCCCACTTAAATCCTGAACCCTTATTGCCCCTAAACTGTAAGCCCCAAACCCTAAAGCCTAAACCCCATAACCCCTAAACCCCTAAATCCAAACCCCTAAACCCTTAAAGCCCTAATTCCCTAAACCCTAAACCCCAAAGCCCCAAACCCTAAATTTTCCAATCCCATTGGCCTCCGAAGGCTGCCAGGACTTTATGGCCAGCTGTTTCAGGCGGGCACGCATCTCGCCACCTTACGATCCTTGCCCTTATAGGTTTAGGGTTTAGGGTTTAGGGCTTCTGTTTTGGCCGAGAGGGTTTTTAAGGCGTTCGTCCCTAAACCCAAAACCCAAAACCGTGCTCCTTTAAGGGCTCTTTAAGGGTACCCTTAAAGGCTCCTTTAAGGGTTCCTTTAAGGTTTCCTTTAACGGCTCCTTTAAGGGTTTAGGTTTGGGGTTTAGCAGTTCGTGTCCCGTTGTGACCTGGGTCTCAACCTTGGTTAGGGGTTGAGGGCTTGTTTAAGGGCCCCTTTTAAGGGTTAAGGTTCAAGGATTAAGGCTCAGGGATTAAGGGTTTTAGGGGTTCTGGGTTTTGGGGTTTAGGCTCTGGGGTCTTGAGTTGTTTATCATTTCGGGTCTTGGTTTGGCGTTTAGGTTTTAGGGTTTAGCGCTGGAGGGGTTCAAGGTTGCGTCAGGGCATGACCACATCGGGACATCTTTTTGAACAGGCTTGGCATCTGAACTTGCCTCACACACTGAACCTCCACTAACGCCTAAACCCCGAAACTGCCCTAAACCCTGAACCCCTAACCTTTAAACCCTAAGCCTTAAATCCTAGGTCGTTATAGAACGCTTAAGGAACCTTAAAGGAATCTTAAATGAAACCTTGTAGAACCCTCAAAAACCTTAAACCCTGGTGCAAGTTGACTTGAGTTTGGCTCTTTTCCGCACAGTGCATGGCGAAAGCCAAACAGCGTGTAGTATAGGGACCTCTTAACAGCTGGAATAGGGTTTTGGGAGATATTGCGCTAAACCCGAAACCCTCAACCCCAAAACTTTGAAGTCCGACCCCAAAACCCGAAACCCGAAACCCGAAACCCTGAACCCCAACGCTGCAAGACCCTGAGCCCCTAAACCCTGAAGCCTCAGCGCTCGACGACGCCTTGTCAGCTCTGAAGGTGGCTAGTTCTCTAAATTAGGATCCCTTCTTTAGGTCCCCAAGAAAAATACGGCACCCTTATAAANNGGACCCTAATTTAGAAAACTGCCCAGGTTATGGTGCACTCGACGGGAGGCTTGGTCGGGGCGTCGTTGACATCGTGGATGGTGATATGGATCTTGAGACTCGTCTCAGCTCGGAAGGTTCTTGGGGTTTAGGGTTTAGGGNNGGGTTTAGGGGTTTACGGGTTTAAGGTTTAGGGATTTAGGGGTTTAGGGTCTATGGGTGTAGGGGTTTAGGGGTTTAGGGGTTCAGGGTTTAGGATTTAGGATTTAGGTCTAGGTTTGAAGGATGAGGGTTTAGGCCTGGGGCGTAGGATGAAGGTTTAGGCTGGAGTGTGAGGGTGTGGGTTGTAGGAAGAGGAAATTGAACCCTTGTGTGGAAGCTTTGTAGGGAGTTCCGAAAATTCGGGCACCTTGTGACGGACTCGGAAACCCAGGTCCAGCAATGTAGGCTGCACGTCAACCTCCGCTCTTTGCTGAAACTTCCTTGTGGGGTGTCGGCGAGGATCTGAAACGGTTCTGGCTGGAGGGTAGGGTCTGAGACACTAGTGCCTAAACCCTAAACCCTAAACCCTAAACCCTAAACCCATTCCTTTAGGTCCTCCCTTACTCCTCCACTATCATAAAAACCCCAACGACCTCCTTTGAGGATCCCTGCATTACAACCCGTACTAAGCCCCATAAGAACCCCCGAGTGGACCGCGTTCAGGACACTGTAAGACCCTAGCGAAACACGGTTTAGGGTTTAGGGTTGTAACATCAAGAATCTTGGCAATGGTGGCAGCAAGAACAATAAGAATCAGAAGAACAATACTACTTCTGCTGCAAGGACTACTCCTGCTGCTGCTGCTGCTGCTGCTACTACTACTACTACTACTACGACGACGACGACTACTACTACTACTACTACGACTACTACTGCTACTACGATTACTGATGCTCACAAGAATGACAAAAATATTCATCATTGCTGTGAATATTTAGCACTATTGTTATCAAGGGACTGCCGAGGAGCTGCTGCGCAGGAAGACGTCCTAAAGCCATAAACCCCTAGACCCCTAAACCCCTAGACCCTTGAACCCTACACCCATAAACCCCCTAGACTCCTGACCCCCAAACCCTAAACCCTAAACCCCTATACGCCCTAACCCCTACACCCTATGACCCCTAAACAATATAAGCCCTAAACCCTAAATCCTAGACCCTAAACCCCAAACCCTAAACCCCAAACCCTAAACCCTAACCCCTACACCTCCGACTCCGAGGAGCTGCTGCTTCCTGCAAGCGCCTTTCCCAAGCGACGGGATCTTGGGCTGCTGAAGCTCGGCGCTTGTTTTGGCCAGGAATGATCCCCTGGGCATGGTTTTGGGGGTTTAGGGTTTAGGGTTTAGGGGTTTCGGGGTTTAGGGTTTAGGAATTGAGGGTTTGGAGTTTCGGGGTTTAGGGTTTAGTGAGCTTAGGGCAGGGCTTTGGGGTTTTGGATTTTGGAGGCTTTCGGGGTTTATGATTTAGGGTTTAGGGTTTAGGGTTTAGGGCCGTTTAGGGGCTTGAGGTTTTGTTCTCGTTTCGATTTCCTGGACCCCGACGGTGACGTAACCAACCACAAAAAGCTACAATTACACCTTCTCAGAGTGGGTTTAGGGGTTCGGGCAGTTTAGGGTTTAGGGTCCTGAACCCTACCCCCGAACCTAGCTAAGCCCCAAACCCCAAACCCTAAACCCTAAACCCCGAACCCTAAACCCTAAACTCTAAACCCTAAACCCCCAAACCCTAAACCCCCAAACAACAAAACCCTAAAACCTAAGCCCTAAACCCCAAACCCTAAACCCTAAACCCCCAGACCCAAACCCTAAGCCCTAAATTCCCAAACCTTAAACCCTAAACGCTAAACCCTAACCCTCAAACCCTAAACCCTAAACCCCCAAACCCTAAACCCGCAAACCTGAAACCCGAAACGCTAAACCCTAAATCCCAAACCCTAAACCCTAAACCCCCAGACCCTAAACCCGAAGCCCTAAATTCCCAAACCTTAAACCCTAAACGCAAAACCCTAAATCCCAAACCCTAAGCCCTAAAGATC